GCCACGGGGCTGATCGACTACGAGCAGCTGGAGGTGACGGCGCGGCTCTTCCGTCCCCGCCTGCTCATCGCGGGCACCAGCGCCTACGCCCGGCTCATCGACTACGCCCGCATGAGGAAGGTGTGTGGCAGGGGTCAGGGGACGGCGGGTGGCCGTGGTGTCCCCAGGGGTCAGCGGGTGACCGTGGTATCCCCAAGGGATGGTGGGTGGCCACGGCGTCCCCAAGGGACAGTGGGTGACCATGGTGTCCCCAGGGGTCAGCGGGTGGCTGCGGCATCCCCAAGGGATGGTGGGTGGCCATGGTGTCCCCAGGGGACAGTGGGTGGCCACGGTGTCCCCAAGGGATGGCGGGTGACCACGGTGTCCCCAGGGGATGGTGGGTGGGCACGGCATCCCCCAGGGACAGTGGGTGGCCGCGGTGTCCCCAGGGGTCAGCGGGTGACCGTGGTGTCCCCAAGGGATGGTGGGTGGCCGCGGTGTCCCCAGGGGTCAGCGGGTGACCGCGGCGTCCCCAGGTGTGCGACGAGGTCAAGGCGTACCTGCTGGCGGACATGGCCCACATCAGCGGGCTGGTGGCGGCCAAGGCCATCCCCTCGCCCTTCGAACACGCCGACGTCGTCACCAGCACCACCCACAAGACCCTGCGCGGCGCCAGGTGAGGCCGTGACCGCCGGCCACGTTCCGGGGGCTGCGTCCCAGGGGATGGAGCTGCCCCGGGGGCCAGGGGGGTCGGTGTCCCACAGGGGGGCAGCGGGAGGAGCGGTACCAGCGTCTCTCGCCCCCAGGGCGGGACTGATCTTCTACCGCAAGGGCGTGCGCTCCGTGGATAAGAAGACGGGGAAGGAGACGCTCTACGACCTGGAGGACAGGATCAACTTCTCCGTGTTCCCCTCCCTGCAGGGGGGCCCCCACAACCACGCCATCGCCGCCGTGGCCGTGGCTCTCAAACAGGTCTGTGCCGGGGCGGGGGGGGCTCGGGGCGGGGGGTGACCCTGGCCCCACGCTGACGGGGTGTCCCCTCGCTCCCAGGCCAACTCCCCGGCCTTCAGGGAGTACTGCCAGCAGGTCCTGAGGAACGCCAAGGCCATGGCACAGGCGCTGCTGCAGCGCGGGTACACCCTGGTGTCAGGTAACGCTCTGTGCCCGCGGGGTCCGGGCACCAGAGGGACAGAGCTGTGCTGGGTGGGCTGGGGGGCAGAGGAGGGGGGCTGAGGCAGAACGGGGGCAGTGCTGCAGAGCAGGGAAAGGGCAGCAAGGGGTGGGCTGGGGGTGCTCGGGGGTCCTCACCCCTCTCCCTCGCTTTCCAGGGGGCACCGACAACCACCTGGTGCTGGTGGACCTGCGGCCCAAGGGCATCGACGGGGCGCGGGCGGAGCGGGTGCTGGAGCTCGTGTCCATCACCGCCAACAAGAACACGTGCCCGGGGGACAAGAGTGCCCTGACCCCGGGGGGGCTGCGCCTGGGTGAGGGACGGGCCCTGTGGGGGGGGCTTCCTGCCACCCTGGGGCAGGGGGTCCTCGGGCTTTTGCCCCAGGGCATCCCCACTGCTTCACCCTTCTCTGAGGACTCCCTGGGGGAGTTTGGAGCCGGGTTTGGCCCAGACAGGGGCACAGGACCCCATGGGGGCTGGCGGCTGGGGAGCTCCTTGGGGGGCTCGGGGAGCTCCCTGGGGGGGCTCGGGGAGCTCCCTGGGGGGTTTGGGGAGCTCCTTGGGGGGCTCGGGGAGCTCCTTGAGGGGCTTGGGTTGCTCCCTGGGGCTGCTGCCCCGCAGTGGTCCCGGCCCTGACGGGCTCCATCCCCAGGTGCCCCCGCGCTGACCTCCCGCCACTTCCGCGAGGAGGATTTCCAGAAGGTCGTGGAGTTCATTGATGAGGGCATCGTGCTGGCCCTGGACGTCAAGAGCAAAACCAGTGAGTGGGGGGGGCCGTGTCTCCCCTCCCTGGGTGCCCACCGGCCCCTCTCCCTTTGGGGCACGGGGGCTCTGCCGGTGCCAGCCCCGCTCCCCAGCCTGGTGGAGCTTCCCCTGCGGGTACCTGGGCAGGGGTGGGGCTGCCGTGGGGCCCCCCCTCCTCACCTGTGCCCCTCCCACCCCCCAGGTAAGCTCCAGGACTTCAAGACCTTCCTGCTGCAGGACCCCGAGACGCAGCGGCGCCTGGGCGAGCTCCGCCAGCGCGTCGAGACCTTCGCTCGTGCCTTCCCCATGCCCGGCTTCAGCGACCACTGAGGGGGGGGCTCCCCTCCTGCCGGGCTGGGGCCACCGGGGGGGGGGAAGAGGGGAGGCTGAAACCCCCCCTCTGCCCTTCCCCACTCCCCTTCCTCCCCCTTTAGCACCTTTGGGCACTCCCTCCCCGGGGCAGGGGACGGTGCCCGCCCATCCTGCTCTCAGTGTTAGGGTGCAGAGACCCCCCAGACCCTGACTGGGGGGGGGGCACCGCTTCTTCCAGCCTCGTCTTGCACTTTTCTATGGGGGGGGTTGCTAATAAAAGTGGGGGCAGAGCCTGGAGGTGTGTGGGTGCTGGGCTGGGGGGGTCTGGGGGCGGGTTCCTGGAGCCCCTCAGCGCTGCACCAGGAGAGCTGGGGGGGTCTCTGTGCCTCGGTGTCCCCGTCCTGGGGCTTCACCAGTGGGCTCTGAGGGCAGGGGGTGACACTGAGCCCCAAAACAAGTCCGGGGGCCATAGCCCAGGCTGCCCTAACCCCCCTCCTTTTCCTGCCCAGCCAGACCCTGCCCCGTGTCACGTGTGCCAGGGGGTGCACACGCCTCCAGCACACGCATGGACATCACACACACGTGTGGGGGTGACCCCTCCACCCTCTCACCCTCTCCAGAGGGTCCAGGGTGGGGCCTGAGGGGGGACCCTGGAGCGTGGGAGAGTGGAAATGCAGCATCCAGGGGGATCTTGTGCTGCTTCCAGTGGGATGTGACCCCCCCCAGCCTTCCCGGGGGAGGGGGTGTGAGAACATCTCCTGCATTACAGGCCCTGGGAAACCATAAATAACCCACTTTGCTGCCCCCCCATCATTTATTAGTGTCCCAGGAGTTCAATGCAGGCACAACATGACAGTGAGGGGTGTGGGGGCTCTGCAGGGATGTGGTTTATTGGGGGGGGGGGCGCTCGGCCACACGGTTTTGGGGTGCTGGAGGAGCAGTGGGACCTGTGTGCAGTGGCTTTGGTGGAGCTGGAGAGGCCGTGGGGGGGCTTCTGGCGGGGGTGGGTTCCCTCCCTGCCCCAGCACGTCCCGGGGGTGCCTCAGAAGCTGGGACGCTCCTTCTTGAGGTTCTTGTAGTCAGTGGAAACTGCCAGAAACTGGAGAAGGGAGGGAGGTGAGGGGGGGTCGTGACTCCCCTCCCTGCTGTCGCTGCAGCCCGGCCTTGGCCCCGAGGTGGGGGGACACACGCAGTGCCCCCCTCCCCAAATCTGAGCACAAGGAGCTGGGGGGGCTCATGAACCTCCACTCCAGGGCTGATCCCCCTTTCCCCTTCCCAAGGAAAAAGCCTTGCCCTAAAGGTGGCTGCTCCCCCCTCCCCTGCCAGCCCCCAGTTCACCCAGTGCTCACTTTATACTGGTCCGTGGGGCTCAGCTTATTCCAGGGCTCAGGATTGTTTTTGCGGTCCCAGCTGCGGGGGGTGATGGGGACATCAGCACCTGCAGGGAGTGGGGAGAGACCCCCCCCCCCCCCCCCCCCCCCCCCCCCCCC